AATAAAATAATTAATAATTTATCAGTTACCCATAAAGATCAAACTTTGCAATTTTTAAATAATATGTACTACTATTTGAAATTCAATATAATTTCAAAGATTTAATTTTATTTGCAATTTGATTTTTTTTATTAGAATACTTATCACAATTTTCAAACTTTAACACTTTTTATTTAAGAATAAAAAAATTATTGTATAGGATACTAATAAAGTAGAGAGAAAAAAACAGATGTTCATAATATAAATGCTCTAGCCATCATAATCCTGACATAATATTTATTTTAAAAATGATTGAAACAAATATACATCAAGTATTATAGGAATTTTACAAAATTATTAAAAAAAAGATGGAAAAATAAAAAATATTATTATTATAGTATTCAATATTCATTCATGATCTAATGCATGTGGATTATCATTAAAAATGTTTGAATTTACTTGGAATATTATATATAGATACAAATCTCTCTCTGTATATATAAATGTATGTATTTATTTGAAATAAAAACTAAAATTCCGCTTAAAAATTTAAAAATTACTAAACTTGGCAATCTTTTTTTTGAAATTTTCAAAAAAATCCACCTCTAGAAATTAATTAATCAATTTATGGTAAAGTTGGAAAAATTAATAAATTCGGTTTTGGTATAAAGTGGGCGATTTTATTTTATATATCCGATTGACATTTTTATTTTTGGTAAGAAATGTGTTGTTATTAATAAATGTCAGATTTTATGAAATAAAATGGGCAATTTCATTTTGATATGAAATATCTATATCTATATATATATAAAGAGGTTGTTGGAAAAATACATTAATAGAAAGTTTGACCAAATAAATATAATGTTTGACTTACTATTAATGGAAAGTTTGAAAAAACACATGTAAATATTTAGAAACAAAATCTGAATCCTATTTTTTCGGTAACAAATTTGGAGATTCTTATGGCAAAAATTTGAATCCCATTTTTTTCGTATCATATTTTATTTTTTTACCAAAATTTAAATCATATCTTTTTTGGTAACAAGTTTAGAGATTCTTATGCAAAAAATGGGTCAATTATTTATGAAAAAAATTCTAAATACAAATCATTTTAAAAACCGTGCAAATTGGATACAAATTTACGAAACAAATAGTTGTATAAATTCTAACCAATTCTTCCAATCTTAATGAATAATTTTTTACTTTCAAACAAAGTGTGTAAATTGGATAAAACCACGTGTAATTTTTATTTTAAAATAAAACTGATATTTGGACGTTATGTACATTCAAAATTGTGTCCACAATTTTTTGTAACAAAAGCGGTTCATCTTTTATATTTAAAGTCACCTTATCCAATTATTTAGGAAAATTTGTGTGCAACTTTTCAAAATTTAAATGCATCGATTGGTTGTGACAAATAATTGGTATATAGGTTTGATGCTCACTGAAGAACAAATCAAGAACCTGGCCCTTTGCTGAGATTGAGAATTTATTGAGACGACGTGGGTCAAGTCTTCGTGAATACTCAACTATGCCATTTCCGGATAGGGAGAACATCAATTCAAGTTCGAATCGTCTAATTTTGGATGAATTGAATTATTATCTAAAGGCCTTCGCTGTTGAATACGATATGCTTCTTAAGAAAATGACAGCCGAACAGAGGAGTGTCTACTCAAGAATTATGTCCGCTGTTGAATCCGGCCAAGGAGGGCTCTTTTTTGTATCTGGTTATGGTGGAACTGGGAAGACGTACCTGTAGAGGACTTTATCTACTGGTTTGAGATCCAAAGGCGACATAGTCTTATGCGTTGCATCCAGCGGAATAGCATCGCTTTTGTTGCCAGGTGGACGAACAACGCATTCTCGATTTGCTATACCATTGAATCCCCACCAGGAATCTACTTGCAACATCAATCAGTCAAGCCGTCTAGCGGAATTGATAATCGTGCTTCTCTAATAATATGGGATGAAGCACCAATGATGCATAAGCATTGTTTCGAAGCTGTACAGACATCGCTGCAGGGTATTATGGGAACAATTGATCCTTTGAACTTGAACAAACCGTTTGGTGGGAAGCCGGTTGTTTTTGGTGGAGATTTTCGACAAATACTTCATGTCATTCCAAAGGGTAGCCGTCAAGACATAGTCAATGCTGCCATTAATGCTTCTGACATATGGAGAAGTTTTACTGTGTTTAGGCTTACGAAAAACATACGCCTTCCGGGACTTGCTAATTCGGATGAACGTGATGAGCTTGCACAGTTTGCAGATTGGATAGCCAATATCAGAGATGGAACTATCGGGGGATCGAATGATGGATGTGCAACTATAGACATACCCGAGGACATTTTGCTTCAGCCATCTGATGATCCTATTGCTCAGATCGTTGAAAGCACATATCCAATGTATAAAGAGACACCCGACTATCCAAGTTATTTGAAGGATAGGGCTATAATAGCACCGACGTTGGATGTGGTCGAGTCTATCAATGAGTACATGACATCATTGAATTTGTTGGATGGTCGTATGTACTTGAGCTCCGACAGTACGTGCAAATCGGATTCTAATAATGATTTTTTGTCTGATCTCCACACGCCTGAGTTTTTGAATAGTATCAAGTGTTCCGGAATACCGAACCACGAGTTGTATTTAAAGATTGAAACTCCAGTCATGTTGTTCCGGAACATGTATCATTCTATGGGTTGTGACAAAGCTATCCACTCATGTTCTTGAGTGTAAGATACTCACAGGAGATCATGCTGGTGATAAGGTGTTGATTCCAAGAATGGTCATAACTCCTTCTGATGTTAGAATTCCTTTCAAGTTCCAGCGGCGATAGTTTTCCATTATGGTTTCTTACGCCATGACTATAAACAAGAGCCAGAGACAATTCTTATCTCATGTTGGTTTATTTCTTAAGAAACCAGTATTCAGTCATGACCAATTATATGTTGTTGTCTCCCGTGTCACTAACCGAAAAGGTTTAAAAATCTTAATTTGTGGCGAAGATAACGTGCCAAAGAATCAAACCAATAATGTTGTATATAGAAGTGTTCAATAATATATGATCTTTTCAGTTTAATTATATGTTTATATGTCTATTCTTATGATCATGATCATTGCATTATTACACAATTTATATACAAAATTATTTTTTAAAAAGCGTATAAATAATAATATCCCCGTGCATCGCACGAGTGATTACTAATAAATATTGGAGAAGAACAGGTCAAGTTTAAGAACTGCCAATTTCCAAAAATTTTCACTGTTATGCCAGTATGACTATTTGGTAATCAAGTCTGGTCAAATATATTTAGTGTTGTACTTTTGCTAGCTGCTTGTGCAAGGAAAAATAATAAAAATAAAAAATTAATAACATCAACAAAAATAAAAACTATAAATAATTTCTCTAAATAGTAAATATCTGAAGTTGCCACATTTTTTCCGTGGGGCATGGAGAGGTATTTCAATCTCTCTCACTAATTATGTTTGGGCCACTTTTATTGCTTGCATGTACATCATTTATTGAAATTATGATGTAAGTACTCACCAATTTTAATCCTTTAGTTGGTGGGCTAAGCTTTAACAAGCTCAAACAAAATAATAGAGATTCAAGAATAACTTATAAAACATATCTTGTTATATAGGGCAAAAATACAAAAAAGATACACTAAGTTGGGCGTTGTCAACAAAAGAGACATTATGTTGTCCCTCTCGGAAAAGACACGCGAAGTTGGCATTTTCGTCGGAAAGGATACATTAATCACCCATGCGGGATAAAAATCTGACGTGGCCTGATTATCTTATTACGTGGCATTTAATCTTTCGGTATATTCATGCGTGGAATTTACGTGGCCGACACCGTGGACATGTGGCCTAATTTTGGAGGGAAATCCCAACACAAGAGTTGACCACCGAGGACCGAAGTATTAATTGCGGGAAAATCACAAATCAGATCCAATCCCTCATTTCGATCGGCCAGAATTAGGGTATTTCGAAGAACCCTAAAAATCGTCACCTTCAATTGGATCTCAATAATTCATTTCAAGTATCAAAACATCAATAAAAGAAAATCACGAAGATGTCAGCGTCTTCTTTTTCTTCTCCATCGGACATTTTGTGCGGTTGTCTAGAGAAGGCCCAATTGAGGACTTCGAAGACGAGTCAGAATCCTGGGAAAAGATTCTATGGTTGTAAGAAGTGGAAGGAAGGAGGGTGCACTTTTTTCATGTGGGCCGAACCAACTTCTCAAATCAACTCAGAAACTTCATCAGGTATGAATAATCAAGATTTGGGTTGTAAGGCTCAAGAATCTGAAATGAAGATTGTTTTGCTGGAGGCTGAATTGAAAGTTCTGAAGATGAAGATTTCAATGCTTGAAGATTCCATTGGGAAATTTGATTCTCAAGTGAAGTTGATGATGGACAGGATGAAGAGAATTCACTTGTTTATTGTTGGTATTTGTATTGGTTTGATCTTATGTGTTTTAGTGAAATAAAGACTGAATTGTTCATTCAAAAAAAAAGTGGGATCTGTTCTAATGTACTGAATATTTGTTGGTTGATTATGAAGTGGACTGATTTCTGTGTTTGTTGCTTATGAAGTGTATTGAATTGATATGTTGCAGAAATGTTTTTTTGACCAGTTAGCACACACTGAAAAAGACGAGCAATAGGTATTAGATATTGACAGCTGAGATCAAAATTCAGATATTGTCAACTGAGATCACACAACAATTGAATAAGGTGTAAAAACACAACACTTTAAAACCAATCACCATTCACCATAAATCATCCATTACAAATCAGATCCAAAAAACCATTCAAGCCAAAACAACACAACATCTCATAACCATAACCTTCCCAAACAAAACAACACAGTTTTTTCACTTTTCACCATCACACCATAACCATAACCATTCACAGCAAAAACATTCACAGCAAAACAACTTTGAAGTACAAAACACAAAAAACTGTCAAGTTCATAACAACACATTCAGAATAATCATCAATCATCCATCATCACAGCAATTTCTGTTTTCCTCTGCCATCATCACTCTTCTTTGGATTGTTCATGCCAGATATAAGCTCAGACACAGATATGTACTTCTGTCCTCCTTCTTGAAATATTTGTTTGAGCCTAGTGTCCCTCTCTGAAAGGCAACTTTCTTGACTTGGTATAAATTGACCCACCTGAAATGTAGGAGGCCCTCTAATGTTCACCCCAGAAGTTGGACCCAACTGAGCAGAAGTATATTGATTGTACATTGAAGGTGCTTGAATGAATTTTGGGACTGTGGTTTGTTTTTTCCCTTCCTTTCTTTTCTTGTGGGCTTGGCCTTCACCCTGCAAGATAATTTATAATATAAATACAACTATGAATTTTCAATGATGAAATAAGGCACAAAAAAGTATTTCTTACAGTTACAACACTTTCTTGAGTTGAAACTCCTATTGCAGGAGCTTTGTCTGTCATCCTTCTAGCCTGAAAGAATAAAAATTTTCTTTTTAGTAAACAAGGTAACATAATTTTAATTCATTATTAAATTTAAACCAACATTATAAAAGTACCTTCAGCTTTTGAGGCCTATCTTCTAGACCAATGGCTGCAGGATCTGCATTACCTTCCTTCATTAGAAGGCAGCCTCTCTTGTTGTGGCCTTCCACATGGCAAACAGTGCACTTCAACCATGTTTGCTGCCTTTTGATAGTATTGGCTGGAGTCACAAGTCGAGGCTTAACCCTTTTTTTTCTAATTCTTTTAGGTTGAACCTCATCAGGTTCCATTCTCCTCACTCTAGTGGGCCTACCAGCTGCTCTACCATTATTAGGTGGCAATGGAGGGGCATATCCTGTCCTTCTCCATTCTTTTCTGCCATTGATGGGCATTATGGCTGGAGCATAAACCTTTTTATAGGTCTCTGTCTTGTAGCATGGATGTATGAAATCATCAATGTTCCAGCCTTGAAAATGAATAGCACTTACTGCATGGATACAAGGAATTCCACTCAGTTGCCACCTCCTACAACCACAACTCTTGTTTTCCAAATCCACTCTGAACTGATCACCATTGAACACCTCAATTTGGAAATTGAAATCATTAGACTTCAATGGGATACAGTCAACCAAATTTTCAATATGGTTATCAATTATCTCCCTCACCTTAGGACAAAATAAAAAATCCCACTTTTCTGCCTTATCTCTATTCAGTTGCAACCTTTTCATCAGGTAATTCATGATCCACTCAAGCATTGATAAGATGGGCATACTTCTAGCTTCTAAGATGTTGCAGTTGAATGTCTCACAGCCATTATTTAACAACATGTCACACTTGGGAAACTCACTAAAATGCGACCTGCTCCATTGATGAGGTGGTTTGTCACTTAACCAGTCATAAGCACTCTCTTCCAACACTTTCAGTGCATCCATTTTCCTTGAAAAATCATTGACTGTAGATGCCGTAGCTGCTCTCCAAACTGCATTCTTAAACCCAATCCCTCTAAAACCTGCATTTCTGAAGTTACCCAAAAGGTGCCTCACACAAAACCTGTGATCTGAGTTAGGCAACACTTGTTGAAAGGCCTGAATCAGTCCTTTCTGTTTATCAGAAATAAATGTCCACTCATGTTGCTTTTCAATCTCAAGGTCCAATTTCAACAGCAAAATGAACCACTCCCAGTTGTCTCTGTTTTCCTTTTCAACAATAGCATAAGCTAAAGGAAACAAGGAATTGTTAGGATCTACTCCCACAGCACATAGTAGCACTCCCTTGTTGGGGCCTTTCAAGTGACAGCCATCCACTCCAATGATGGGTCTGCAACCAGCTTTAAATCCAACTTTCAGTGCATTCAAGCAAATGTAGAACCTGTCAAACAAGTTCTCCCCACTACTATCATCAGTACCCAAAATCACTGTGCTCCCTGGATTAGTCCTTTTAATCTCATCACAGTAATCCCAAAGAAGAGCATACTGGTCATTAGGACAACCAGTCCTTTCTGCAAGTGCTGTCATTTTTGCCCTATATGCTTGTGCTCTAGAGAATGTCACTCTCAGCTCCCTCACTTTACTGTCCCTAAAACCCTTAATCTTTCTATCAGGATCACTTTGCAGCTCATGAGCATATCTACCAGCAAGCCATCTTGATGTAATATTTTTAACCTTTGCTGTGGCAGCACAAGTATGAGAGTGAGTGTACTTTATCACTTGCCAGGCCTCCTCTCCATTGATCTTAGTTGCATGCAGCTTCCAATTACAAGCAGCATCAACACATTTAGCATGAACATACTTCCTATCTCTTCTAGTTAATTTCACACTTCTTTTGCATTTGATTGCATTTGACTGAATTGCTGTCCTCAGTTCACCTTTGGTACTGAAAACCAAACCTACCCTGAAAGTAGGATCATATAACTCTGCAGTGTTGAAAATAGGATACTGGTGACCTACATTCTTTCCTTCAGAACTATCATCACTATGCAAATCATCACAATTGACCACATCAGTTTCATTTTCAACTGAGATACCATCATTTGCACATTTCTTAACACCTTCCCCTGACCATGCAACCATTCAGCATCAAAATCCACATTATCATCAAACATCTTGTCATCTACCTTGTCAGCTTCCATATCATACTCCCAATCCAAAATATCATCATCACTCTCCTCACTATCCTCACTCTCCTCACTCTCCCCACCAACACCACCATCAGCATCAAACCCACCATTCTTAGCCATAAACTCAGCAACCTCATCCACGACCTGATTTAAATCTTCATCACTCTCCTCACCCTCATCAACCTTCTCAGCCTCAATCTCAACCCCAAGCTCACCCTTCTCAACCCCAAGCTCAGTCTCACCCTCACCCTCACCCTCACCATTCTCACCCTCACCCTTCTCACCCTCACCCTTCTCACCCTCACCCTCAACCTCACACTCCTCTGCCTCAACCCCAACCTCAACCTCAACTTCATCCACATTTTCATCAAACAAGATGTCATCCAACTTGTCAACTTCACTATCATTCTCCCACTCAAAAGTTTCATCACTATCATCTTCACCAACCTTATTTTCAATTTCAGGTGCATTAACAATTTCTGTATTTTCACTTAGCTCTTCAACAAACAAACTAACCTCCCTAACCTTGTTAATTTGTCTTTGCCACACACTCTCAAGATCAGTCTCAGTTGAAAGTAACATGAAACTCCCACAACCAACATATGTGTGCAGTCTCATAGGATTTTTGCACCCTTTAAATTCTGCCACAGACTTAAAGTCAGCAAGTGTGACCATTTCATAATCCACATAGTCAAACATTATTGTACTCCCACCTAGATATGCAGAATATTTTTTCCCAATATCAAATTTACCCCCAAATTCTAGGGTGACTGTGAAGAATTTACTAGTTGAACCTGCAGTAACAATAAAAATTACAATGAAAAAGCATCCAGGAAAGGAAAATAGTGTAGACTGACAAAATTAAAATTAAAATTAAATACATACTATATCTAGGAGCTGGGGAACATTCTTTGTCACTGGGTCGTATTTGAATCTCGCAGTCGGAAACACGAAGGCCTCTTGCTAACTTCAAAATGGGATTCGATTTTCGAACTGGTTTTTTCTTCATTGTGACAGTGGTTGATTGATTAAGGTCGAAATTGATGTAAGTGATTGAACTGGAAGATAATCTAGGTTAGTTTTTCTTCATTATGTGAGTGATTGAGGTCGAAATTGAAATGAAGATAATCTAGGGTTTTTTCTTCACGATTGAAATGAAATAGGGGCGGGGCAGACGTACAGTTGTGTTGGGATTTCCCTCCAAAATTAGGCCACATGTCCACGGTGTCGGCCACGTAAATTCCACGCATGAATATACCGAAAGATTAAATGCCACGTAATAAGATAATCAGGCCACGTCAGATTTTTATCCCGCAGGGGTGATTAATGTATCCTTTCCGACGAAAATGCCAACTTCGCGTGTCTTTTCCGAGAGGGAGAACATAATGTCTCTTTTGTTGACAACGCCCAACTTAGTGTACCTTTTTTGTATTTTTGCCTGTTATATAGGGTATATGACAATTTTGTTCAATAACTTTTGTGATTGTACAAAATGCCCTACAACTATAAAAATTCGAGCATTTCGTGCTAGAAAAGTACATAAATCAAGCGAAAACTATCCACTAACTAATTACAAAATTTGCAAAATATACCCACTAATTAACTCAAAGTTAAATAACGATTTGATTAGTTAGTGTGCAATCGCAAAAGTTACTCGATAAAATAGTCCTTCGTTTCAAATTACTTTAAGTGTACATTTTGCAATTTTACCAATGCTTCAAGGATGTAATTGAACTCTTACACGTATAGCCCCTTAACCACATATGTGAAATGTAACCAAACTTTCTACGCTGCATTACAAATATAAAATACATATAGTTAGATAAATTGTTTGTTCAATTGTATAGAGTTATAGTTATATCCAAGCATAGAAAATTTGAAATACTATAAAATAAAGATTGAACTAATTATTATGATTTCTAGCATTCATATACTAGTCATTAGGAAATAAAAAAAATAAAAAAAATGCACAGATTTATGCAGCTCGTGACAGCTTGTAAAGATACTCAAATCAAACTGAAAATCATTGGCTGTTCAAAACACAGAAAGGAAAGCAAGTAAAACAAATATTGTACTTATTCTTGACAAAAGACAAATTCAGTCGTTACAACAAATTTCAAATCTCCACACACATATCACATCTGTGAAAATAGAAAAATTCAATAAGGTCGAATTTTTCATGAATATATCATTGTCAGAGAAAATTCAATTTAGTTTTCGAAATCCAGTTCAACCCTTTGTTATTTGGGTTGGTGGGTAGAAAAGGGAAAAGATTATATTTAAATCAACACATATATTTTGTGTGACATGACCTAACCGTTAGGCTTGTTGATTCAATAGACTTAAAAAAAATAAATACTTATAACATGAAATATTATGCCTTTATTTATGTTATTTCTTAGTGTATAACATTTGAAATTACAAGGATACACATTTTTTGAAAAAGTATTGACGTTTAACCATTAAATCTGACTAACAACGGATATGAATCGTGATAAATAATATTGGGATGAAAAATAGAGATTATAATTTAGTTAAGACACAAATTCTTCTATGAGACAGCCTAATAGTTAGGCAGGTCGACCTCCCATATTCTATGAACAAATGTGCATAGCTCATCTATACTATTATAAAAGGACGAGTGATTTTGTAAAAATAATGATCTGTCTAAAAAACCCTTACTTTCTCATTTTTTAATGGCAAATTAGTAATACAGTAATATCCATCTTATTTTATATTTTTAATTAACAAATGAACAACCTAAAAAACCCTTACTTTGACTTAATTTTAATGACAAATTAGTAATACACTAATACTCTTCAAATCTTATTTTTTTTTATAATCACTAATATTTAATCAAATAAATAACGGCGTAACATTGAAAACTATTACGATACACGCCCAAAGTATGACTCAAATAATTCTAAATTTTACTAAAAATGATGGAGATTGAGTTGGTCTTTGAAGAAATCGTTATGATTCTCTTAGCTAAGTAGCTATTTGAAAAAAAATAACTCTTCCACATAAGTCCACCAAAGGTTCTTGTAAACAATATCTACAAAATAATCTTATGTAATATTTAGTCCAAATGTTTTATTATATTCTATGTCTAAATGTTGTGCTAACTAAAATGGTAACTCAAAATACTACTATAAAAGGACGAGTGTTTTTGTAAAAGAAAGAACTAACTAATATACCCTTACTTTGATATATTTTTAAAGGCAAATTAGTAATAACATAATATATATCCCATCTTATATTTTTTTTATTAATAACTAATATGTACCTAAATTCTCTTTATTTGACATATTTTTAACCTCAAATTAGTAATACACTAATTCTCATTTAATATTTTATTCATTTAATACAATTAAATGAACAAAACATTCCACATCTCTTAAAAATCAACCACAATATTCACACCATTATTCTTCAAGAATTTGGTTTCTTCCACATATCTCCCAAACCGTTTTCTTCAATATCTCTGAAAACTCAACTCAACATTAACCCAAACAACAAAGTTTTGAAATGATATTGATTTTTTTTTTTTGAATAACGTCCTTATTTTTAATATAATTTTGATGATAAAATCGTAATCATATATAATGATTTTAATATATAAAATTTATTTAAACAAAAAATTATGCAACAAAAACAACATAATAAATACTTATAAAAGATCTAAATATTCTCAACTATTTGTCATTACAATTTATAAAGTATACAAAAAGTATTGCATCAAAACAACATAATGTCATTACAATTTATAAAGTATACTTTTCTTAATTTGTCAACTTTCTCATATGTAATACTCTTTTTAACACATCAATACAATCACAATAAGTTCAATAATTAAAAAAAAAAGCATAGTTTTTCTCAATTCGACATAAGAAAATCATAAAAAAATAATACATTTTTCAAAATCTTTTTATGAACAAAAATTTTATGTTGTAGTATAGTTGACTCGACAATATAATAGATGATTGTATAAATTACGAATATATAACTAGAATTCTACATACATTTAAAATAGACTTAAAATATATTTTCTAAAATTAGATAAAAATTATGTCGCAAAAGAGAGATAATAAGATATCATCAAGAATAAAAAGAAAAGAGAGAAATAGAGCGTAAAATTGTAAAATTTGATATCATATTTTCTTTAGTTGGGATACCGCATTGATGTTATAATTTTAATAACGTTATGAGTTAAATTAAATTATAATTGGTGGAGTTGTAAATTAATCATTATTTGTCTTTATTCTTTTAATTTTATTTTCTAAATAGAGGACATGATTAAAATTATGAAAATATTCCCATAATGTTTGTTAGATATCTTATGCTATTTGTTTTGGGATGATGCCAGTTTCGGGACTATTGGACAAACATGAATCTGCACATGATTGCAACAAAATATTTTTGTTATAATTTTCATTGAAAAATTCAAACGAAAATTGTAACGTTGAAATATTCGTTAGAATTGTTCTCAAAATTTCGTTGTAATATGTTTTCATTGGAATTTCATCATTTTCTTGTAATAAAAGTATGACTCCAAATCAAACTAAAAAAATCGCATTATATATAATATTGTGTGCAGTTAATTGTTTTGAAAATTGTAAATAATGATACAAAATATAACATATTTAATGTAATTATCATTTAATTTATGATAATTAGTAATTAAAAAATACATATAAGTTAAAAAGTCCTTAAATATTTTATTAGTATTATAATAATTAAAGAAGAGGCCAGAATGATGTTCTACTGAAAAAGTAATATTAATACTAAACAAGATGTAAAGATGATGTTCTACGTAATAAAAAGGTAAAACTACACAATGAGAAAACTTATAACTGACATTCCACTCAAAAATAAAAAAAAAAAATGATAAAATTAATAAATGTCATATATCAATTGGAGCTAGCGAATGATAAATGTAAAATATACTTGAGATGACGAGTGATTTTGTAAAAATAATGATCTGCCTAAAAAACCCTTACTTTGTCATATTTTTAATGGCAAATTAGTAATACAGTAATATCCATCTTATTTTATATTTTTAATTAACAAATGAACTACCTAAAAAACCCTTACTTTGACTTAATTTTAATGGCAAATTAGTAATACACTAATACTCTTCAAATCTTATTTTTTTTTATAATCACTAATATTTAATTAAATAAATAACGGCGTAACATTGAAAACTATTACGATACACGCCCAAAGTATGACTCAAATAATTCTAAATTTTACTAAAAATGATGGAGATTGAGTTGGTCTTTGAAGAAATCGTTATGATTTTCTTAGCTAAGTAGCTATTTGAAAAAAAATAACTCTTCCACATAAGTCCACCAAAGGTTCTTGTAAACAATATCTACAAAATAATCTTATGTAATATTTAGTCCAAATGTTTTATTATATTCTATGTCTAAATGTTGTGCTAACTAAAATGGTAACTCAAAATACTACTATAAAAGGACGAGTGTTTTTGTAAAAGAAATAACCAACTAATATACCCTTACTTTGATATATTTTTAAAGGCAAATTAGTAATAACATAATATAAATCCCATCTTATATTTTTTTTATTAATAACTAATATGTACCTAAATTCTCTTTATTTGACATATTTTTAACCTCAAATTAGTAATACACTAATTCTCATTTAATATTTTATTCATTTAATACAATTAAATGATCAAAACATTCCACATCTCTTAAAAATCAACCACAATATTCACACCATTATTCTTCAAGAATTTAGTTTCTTCCACATATCTCCCAAACCGTTTTCTTCAATATCTCTAAAAAATCAACTCAACATTAACCCAAACAACAAAGTTTTGAAATGATATTGATTTTTTTTTTTGAATAACGTCCTTATTTTTAATATAATTTTGATGATAAAATCGTAATCATATATAATGATTTTAATATATAAAATTTATTTAAACAAAAAATTATGCAACAAAAACAACATAATAAATACTTATAAAAGATCTAAATATTCTCAACTATTTGTCATTACAATTTATAAAGTATACAAAAAGTTTTGCATCAAAACAACATAATGTCATTACAATTTATAAAGTATACTTTTCTTAATTTGTCAACTTTCTCATATGTAATGCTTTTTTTAACACATCAATACAATCACAATAAGTTCAATAATATTATGTTGTAGTATAGTTTTTCTCAATTCGACATAAGAAAATCATAAAAAAAATAATACATTTTTCAAAATCTTTTTATGAACAAAAATTTTATGTTGTAGTATAGTTGACTCGACATTATAATAGATGATTGTATAAATTACGAATATATAACTAGAATTCTACATACACTTAAAAAAGACTTAAAATATATTTTCTAAAATTAGATAAAAATTTTGTCGCAAAAGAGAGATAATAATATATCATCAAGAATAAAAAGAAAAGAGAGAAATAGAGCGTAAAATTGTAAAATTTGATATCATATTTTCTTTAGTTGGGATACCGCATTGATGTTATAATTTTAATAACGTTATGAGTTAAATTAATTATAATTGGTGGAGTTGTAAATTAATCATTATTTGTCTTTATTCTTTTAATTTTATTTTCTAAATAGAGGACATGATTAAAATTATGAAAATAATCCCATAATGTTTGTTAGATATCTTATGCTATTTGTTTTGGGATGATGCCAGTTTCGGGACTATTGGACAAACATGGATCTGCACATGATTGCAACAAAATATTTTTGTTATAATTTTCATTGAAAAATTCAAACGAAAATTGTAACGTTGAAATATTCGTTAGAATTGTTCTCAAAATTTCGTTGTAATATGTTTTCATTGGAATTTCATCATTTTCTTGTAATAAAAGTATGACTCCAAATCAAACTAAAAAAATCGCACTATATATAATATTGTGTGCAGTTAATTGTTTTGAAAATTGTAAATAATGATACAAAATATAACATATTTAATGTAATTATCATTTAATTTATGATAATTAGTAATTAAAAAATACATATAAGTTAAAAAGTCCTTAAATATTTTTATTAGTATTATAATAATTAAAGAAGAGGCCAGAATGATGTTCTACGTAATAAAAAGGTAAAACTACACAATGAGAAAACTTATAACTGACATTCCACTCAAAAATAAAAAAAAAATGATAAAATTAATAAATGTCATATATCAATTGGAGCTAGCGAATGATAAATGTAAAATATACTTGAGATGCACATTTATAAAAAATATATTTATTTTTTTGTCTTAGAAATCGGTATGTTAGTCATAATTTTTTAGTTAAAAAATTAGTTAATTTACACCATTAAATTTCTTAATTTTAAAATACTTATTTTTTTTTTGTTACCCTTTTATATGTAATATATCATATCATTTCTTTCCCATGATATTTGATTTTACCAATGTTTTGTAAATAAAATAAAATAATATAATTATTTATATCGATGTAAAATAATATATATATATATATATATATACCAATACCAATTTAAAATAATAAATAGACCTAAAAGAATCTTATAAAATAATTATAGATCCATGTCTCTATAAGAAATTAGTTCTCATAATTAATGATTCGATATTATCATAAAATAGACCACAAACTTTAATAATGACTTCATAATAATAAAGTTAACAAATGACTAAGAGTATCATAATATAGTATAATTCAAATTCTTCTCATCTGAAATATTTTACTTCTAAATATTGTCTCATTATTAGACACATAAATATTGCAAATCTGAAAGAATATGGAAGGTATCTATCTTCTAAATTAATAACACTGAAAAGGGAATGTTTAATACTGATTAAAATATTTTTGAATATTGAATAAGTTGTCACTTTTTGACAAGAATTTACAATCATAATTGTGTATTGTGCTCGATCATACGCACATTTGTTTTAGAGTACATATTTTCATGTAATGTGTGATGATTTCAAAAAAATAATTTAACATCTTCATTGGAAAATCAAATTTTATTTAGAGATGAAATTTGTTCCCATCTCATGGGGTAAGTACTAATTTGTCTATGTGGAGAGAGAGAGAGGGAGAGAGAGAGAGAAATGTAGTAGTTTATACATTGATTAAAAGAAATATCAAAAATTTTAATGACACAAATATCAAGAAATTTAATGATACAATTGTTTATTTCACAGAGATACTTATGAACTATTAGTAGAAATACCTTATAATGATCATACAATCATAAAGTTTGACTATATATTTGGCTAAAGTATTTCTAAGTGTTGAATAAAACAGACATTTTGCAAAATTAATTAAGAAGAATTTTGTAATACTATTGATGTATTAGAATTCAACGAGTATGAATGTTTTTTATGAGAACATGAAAACCAAAATAAAAGAAAATGACTCTTGAATCTAACATAAATAAATAAAAGAACTCATGCATCTATAATATATACATTATGTCTTTATTTAGTCATTTATTGTTTTTTCATTAGGAACTCATTTTTCATATATTTTTGTTGGAGTTGTAATATGATATTTAAATCTTTTTATATTACGACAACATTTTTATATTTAAAATAAAATGCATGAAAAGTTAATTTATTCTACATTTTATTTTGTTCCTGCAGTCATATGTGTAATAAATTAATTAATTTATCTTACTAAATTTAATCGGTAAAAAACATTCGTCGCCACGTGCATCGCACGTGCACTTTACTAGTACTATAAAATGTATACTTTAACATACTTTTGTTTGTGATGTTTTATAAGACATTTTCAGGTAATGAAAGTAGACATGACCGCGGACCAAATTGGCCCAGCCAAAGTTGACGATTTTGGGCCCCACCCAAACTGTTGACCATGGGCCTTGACCCGGCCCATTTTTTATTCGAGCCGGATCCAAAACCGTGTGGTACCAACTGTCATATTTTTTAAAATTCACCATTGATCAATCTGACAGTTGAGATCCAACGGTCAAATTTGATTTGAACTGTTTAAACCGCCGATTAATTTAACCCTGAAGTAGGAGTTCACGATTTCTTTTAATAATAAGAAAAAGAAAATCTAAAAACATTCTGGCATTACATTCATCCATCATCCCTTTCACACCAATTTTCAATTTTCAACTTACTCCCTCGCTATAATCTCATTTTGATTCCAATTATAGTTAAATTCGATCTTGGTCCTATAAATTCTCTTTTATTTTGGGTTTCGCTTCTATAAATTCTCTAAATAATACTCTCTCACTTACTATCTCTAGATAATAATATCTCATTTCTATCATTTCCAGCCCTCGTTTTTGTTTTATAAATTCTATTTAATTTACAAAATATCGAGTGCTCGTAGAGGACAATCACCGAAACGAAAAAATACAGCATCTATTGCCGACACCAACAGTATACTCGGACATTCCGAGTCTTCTCTAGAGCCTGTGGAGGCCCATCGCAACTTCAAATACATGGAAGAAATCACGAGGGCTTAAGCAAACAAGAATTTCTTCAGCAGTAGAAGCACACTAAAGTAGATGAAAGTTTCAGAACATTATGAGAAAATTATAATTAAATGAACAAATGCAAAAAACTCAAGGTACACATAACAAAACTTTTCCAATTCTTCCTTCTCTATATACTACTATCTTTATCCTTCTTTCAAATGCCCCAAAAACACTCCATGAAATCGATTTCGAATGCTCAAACAAACGACCAATTGACGAAAGAGAAGGCTAGGCAGTGGACACTTTCCTCTTCACCTGCCACAACTTTCCACACGACAGCTTGTTCGTACGACATGTGACGGCCTATTGTCGACACGCAGAATCCACCTGGCAAGTAAGCATATCCCTGCAAATGCAATCAGCAAAAAGAAAAAAAAAAGCAAAAAATAAAAATAAAAATATGTAGTTATTGATAGAATTATGCAGAGGATAATAAACAACAAAAAAAAACTAGAAAGAACTACCTGTTGCATGATCTTGGCAAATTCGGAAAAAAATGCCTTTTGACTCGAATCATCAAATATTTTATCGAGCGTGATGTCTTGTAAGGAAATCAACGTGGTTTCCAGCATGTGTAGGCCAGCCTGATTCGCGAATACAAATACTGGTCGAGCCTGTGATCAAAGGAGCTACTTGTAAATTCGAGAATCTAACGGGGTTTAATTAGCAAATTGTCGTAAAAAATATGTAATGTATAGAACAATTTTAGAATATTCATGTGTACCTTCAGAGAGCAGCATAAGATAGCATCTCGATGATGCCAGAGTGATTTTAATACCGAGTCACAACTCAGCGAGTCGGTTCCTAGCAACTCAGTCCCCACATGATAGCTGCAAAGTAATAATGCCGAAAAACACACGATCGACATTTAAAAAAATAAAAATTAAAAAAAATTAAGTGAATCCATTTTCAAAAACACACTATAGATATTAGTACCTATAGCTCTTGCAGATCCAATGTGCAAGAACTGAGGCTTCAGGAGAGCCAGAGGACATATTGGGCCCAACAGTGGGCCCAAATGGTGATAAGGCCAAGGCAGCCCTTTGTACGGATGAGATCACGCCATGCACATAATGTCGAGCCATTGTGGCTACAGTGTCGTGTAAATTGCTGGCGCATGGGAACTGGAAAGCAATTGTCAGTATCGATCGTGGGCTGTAAGATGGGCCGCCGTTTTCGGTGGTATGGCCCGATTTTGTTGTTGGGTCCACATCGAGGCCCGATGTCAAGTCAAGCGTTTTGAACGGCATCAATGTATCCTTTGGCTCACTCTGTGCAGACATTATCCAATTGATCGAATCATAAAATCGAAAGGAAAAAAAGAACAAAAGATTACTAGCAAAAATGTTCGTAAATTAAACTCAACTGATTTCGTATCGAGAGGAACTATGCGAAAACCAGAAGGCAGCAGAGGTGCATCATCTGGAAACATCTCGTCGATTGGTGCAAAGACAAGTTCCGAGCAAGCTCCCACTGCATTCTCATCGAGCCCACTACACATCTGCATTATATATGAGAAGGAAAAATAAATTAGAGAATGCTGAATAAAAAAAATCATTTTCTCCCACCTCAACATAAAAGCTCAGTTTTAGTGTGTAACAAGAAAAGAAAATAATAATTAAAATATATATATATATATATATATACCTGTAGAAGATGAATGTCCCTGGACATAAAAGCATCCTCATAACCAACAGTTTGCCCTTCCAAACGTATCACTTCAAGAATCTGGAATAATAATCAAAAGGGAAAGAAATCTTATTCTGCATTTGAATTTCAGGCATAACAAAAAAAAGGAGAATAGGTATAAAAGTATAAATTTTTGGTTTGAAATAGAATTCACTCACCTCTTCATGTTCGATTGTAGGACCTAACGGCATGACTATCTGGCTTCCGGTGAATCTTATAGGCCTCATCCCTGTATACAAATACATGCTCGATTTCAAAGACGAGGCAAAATAAGCGTCGACATTGGCATCTGCCCATTCTGACCGATTCTCCCTTAAAAACTGAACCAAGACAGCCGGGCTAACATTCTGTGTAGAGGAAGATAAGAGGCGTAAAAGTCAAAAAATGCATAGCTCAAAAAGCAACTAATATGTTTTCATTGATCCACGTGATATATATCGAACGAGCCCCCTTTTTTTTTAGTTGAAGAAAAAAGACTGGCAAAAAATGCGTAGAGAGAGCACCTGAAGAAGCAAAGATGCTTTTGCACACACGATGTCGTTATTCTTGCCGGAACTAATGGCAACTAATACATCATCTTCAGATCCATTTGAGTCCAATAATGACCAACCGTCATCGTTAAACCCATTAACAGCATCATTAAAGCCTCTGCAGAACAAAATCCATATTCGATTTTCTTATACAAAAATTTACATGGTGATTTAAGAAAAATAGTAAAATGTACGAGTAAAAACCCACCTGCTTAGCCTCTGACTGAAAGCTCGTAAAACGGCCGGTTGCCTTCCGGGACCATATACTACTTCACCACTCGTTTCTAGAGCTATCTGTCGAACATATCTTAGTGCCTGTGTAATTATTAATTAACTTATTAATTAACATTCTCTAATTAATTAGCCATCTCAGTAAGTTATTGTGTAATTCGAATGGCACAACATTTGAAAAAAAAAACAGTTAACCTTGTAACACCATGGACTTTACNAACGCAAAATATTATCAAAGAAAATTTGAGGATATCAATTCTCAAGGAGCAACAGCAAATTAAATTAATTAATTACCTGCAGATTAAGATGATCTACAATGTGAATTATCGATCCTCCACCTTCGCATGGCCGAATCAAATATCCAGATGGAAGCATTTCGGCTCTAACGAACTGTGATGCTGACGCTGCATTCGGGCCAACCGCCCCACTACCAGAAAGTGATCTCTCGCATACCTTTTGTGATTAGAGATGACAAAAAAAAAAAACTTAAAGTTCACTTTCATACTACCTTATTCACTCCAAAAATATAATGGGGTGATAAAGAGGCAAAATTTGTAACAGTATGCATAGTTGCATACCACAAGACTACCGTTCTCCAAGGTTTTTGTGTATCTCAAGGTCCATAAATCACGACCGGGAGCAAGTGTAGTCGGTGAATACATCTGAAAGCAAAAATCGAGACTTTTTCCTCTAAACAGAAGAAACTGAATTCGAAAAAAAGAAGAAAGAATCCCATAATCAACCTGCATGTACAAGAGTTCGATTGTTCCTCCATTGGCAGCAGAAAACATCGTGAAAGTCTCAAGGCTCCGACATTCACGAAACCAAGATGGACGGTCTTTTAAAATTTCAGCAATCTGTTGAGAATTAGTTGAACCTCTTTTAGGATCATAATAGTTAGGCAAAGAATAACAAAGATCATAATTAAAGGTGCAAACTTTAGTCAGCAAAGAAGAAAATGGACTAACTAGTAACTACTTTGCTAACCTTTGCAGGCACTAAACTAACAAGACTACAAGCTCTAGCTGCCGCTGCCCCAGTACCACTTTGTGAAATCGCGAAAATCCCAACCGAATCCGGACCAGGCTAAACACATATTCAAATTACAAAGTAAAAAAATATATAAATTAAAATATCGATGGAATTTCATCACGATCGAGAGAACATAGAGAATCTTTTATGACTCGAACCTTCATCCCGGGCATTTGCACCCAATCAACAGCAGTTCCTGTAGCCTTTGAAAGGAACTCTGCCAAGGTTTCCTCTGCAATTGAGAGGAGTCTGTGGAAAAAAGCATACAAACACATATTGAATGATGGGACAATTTTAAATACACAAGGATAGAGAAGAAAGAAAGGAAAAAAAAAAAAGAGAGACAAAGATCAGATTAAACACCCAGCAGGATTGTTTGCATCTATAAGAGACTGCTGAGGAGTTGCAACGGCCGAGTCGCAACTTGCATCAGTGGTCGGCACAGTTGCCTGGAGAAAAAAAAAATCTTTAAGTTTTGTGATGGTAAAGTTATAATCCTTAAAAGTTATAATCCTTAGCAAAAATGATAGAGTACTACACATACACACACATTATCAATTCATCTATTGTGCACTAAAATGTGATATTCTTCTCGCAGTATATGTGAGCTCTATCAATGGAATTCCCAAATTAAGAATTTAAAACACACGCACCGCACACACTCGACAAAGGAACGCATAAAATTCAAGAATCAGTAGACGAAAGACTATGAGATGATTAATCAACAACGTATTTTAACTATACAATCATATATTCTGTTGGAATCAAGTAAACTTGTACATGAGAATGTTTCAACATACAAAATCTGCATGAGGCATTTGCTAAAGGATGGCAAAAATATAGAAAAACAAGTTAAATGTGAGGTTTACATATCAAGCAACTATTATCTGGAGCAGATAGGTCATAATCATATAAACACAAAGCAATAAAATGAAATGGTGAAGAAAAATTATTGCATACACTTTGGAGCTGTTGCCTCATGTAACCATTCTCAGATACCAGCTGAGACACTTGTTTTTGGAGGCGATCATTTTCTTCCATCAAGAGCTTGTTCATCGCGCTCAATTTTCGGTTCACGCTCTGAAGTCTAGTCGACTCCGTACGCTGTTTGTCCCGACACCTTTCATTTGTTAAAATTCACAACATATCATAGGCATCAGAATTCATTAATGAAATAAGAATATCACACTATATGTCATTTTTTTCATTCAAACCCAAGATTCTTAAGAAAACCAGCAACTCGAGACAAATACATTAAAGTAGGAAATTTATAAATGATTGACATGATGCAAGATTCAAATAAATTTATAATCAACGACAAAATCTACAAAAATAATCACATAGGAAAAGAGAAACAATGACAAACTTCTCAAGATTTATTATATTCACGCATTCGCATATGCATACATATATATATGAAGAGAGAAACAAATGAGATATTGGACAAAAAACCTTCGGTTTTGAAACCAGACTTTGATCTGTTTGGGCTCAATGTTCGAGAGAATCGGACATTCTCTGATCAGCTGCTGACGGCGTAAAGAGCTAGGCTTTGGGCACTCGGCATACACTCTCTCTAATGCCTCCACTTGCTCCGCCGTGTATCTCACATACTTTCCCGAATCGATTTGCTTATTTATACTGCACCCACTCCTACTTTCTCCTTGATGCTGTGCTACCATAGCCATTTTTTTTTTTCTTTTCTTCTGTTTACCCTCCTTAAATTCTAATCAAAAGACCAAAAACTATTGTGAAAGAAGAAAACAAGTCCACAAACAAGAAAAACCCTTAGATGGTTCTCTGTAGTTGCTTTTAGACAGAGATTCTGCTATGCCAAGATTGGATTTTTCAGTTTTCTTGATTCATTTTGTTGGTGGTGATATCAGAAAATCAAGATAATATGGACAAATCTTGATTGAGTGGGAAGATTGTTGGGTGATGTATGAGGAACACACTTCCAAACACGTTCCCTTGTGGGAAAAGGTAAGCAGCTGCCACAATAGCTCAATGAAAAAAAAAAAAAGAAAAAAAAACGACAGGCCCTTGTATGTATGAACAATACACAAAGCAAGCGGACAAAACAATCTGTTGCCTTTTTCTCTTTTTCTCTCTTTTGCCCACAAGAAGCCACACTCTTGCAGTTATTTTTACTCTTCCTTTCACTAAAAAGATGCAAGCTTTTCACCTGATTAAAGGGAGTTCACTATGCTTGTTGCCACGCGAAACACACTGGCCATTACAGAAAGGAACAAATTACATTTTATTCTTACTTTAACCCTGAATTACAGCAAAAGTCGCGAGCCCGAACAAAAGGGCAGCTGCAAAAACCGAGTAACTTAAGAAATTTATGAAAGCAAATGCTAGGTCCCATAAAAGGGCCTTCAAAACATTCGAATGAGATGAAAAGGGAACAAGGGACACAATCGTAAAAGCTCTCTCATTGTATTTCTCGCTCTAAAGAAAATGTGAAAGTAGAGAGAAGGTGGTCCTCATCAGGACACCATGGCAGGGCTCTTTGAAGATCTGCGTGGATAAAACCAACAAGCAGAGGTCCTCACTGCAGACATGTCGGTACCCATTTTTTTTTTCCCCTATTTTTTGTTTTCATTAACTCCTGACAGTCAATGGCGAAAGCGAAAGGTGAGCAGAAGCACCGAAAAAAACAAAGATAAAAAAACAGTGCTTCCTCAAAATACATACACACAGGGAGGTATGGTATAGACAGAGAAGAAGACAGAGGCAGTTCTAGAGAGAGAGAGAGAGAGAGAGAGGTGAAAACTGAAAATTGCTCAAAAATCCAAAAATGGCGGACAGTGTACTATTTTATGCTGCTGTTTGCTGCTGCAGCTGTTACTGCGCAACACAGCGGCAAAACTGCAATTGAACTTAAAAAAAATGGTCATAAATGACAGAATGGTCCCTCTCTTTTTAGTGAAATTGTTGAGTGGGTCCCTTGATGAAATGATGAAAATGAGAAGGATTTTGGGTGAGTTTTTATTTGGAGAATGTTGTACAAAGATCCTAAGCACAATCCTTCTATGATGCTATATTAAGACTTCCACCAATATAAGTTTTGCTAATTCTATTTTTTATGGGTAGTTAGATAATGCCATTAAATTATAAATTTAGTCTTAAAATTCAAAATATCGGTGTGAGATAAAGTGACATACAACATAATACTGAATCAAGTTAAATAACTAAAACACAATCTAAAAGTTTTTTAACAACAAAAACGAACTGACACAAATCATACGTAAACTCAAGCATGAAAACTAAAATGTTGGACACAAGATTGATATTGANAAACAAGACTAAGAACTCTTTTTCTTGATCTTGTGTCTCGTCTAACCCTCCATCAACATACCATACAATCCTAAAACATCAACACACCTCATACTAAGGCTTAAAATATCCGAAAATGTACATAAACTACAATAAGTGGTGTCTGGCAGGTTATGAAACTGAACACAACATCACTATCCGTGAAAGATCTCGAGTCATGTGAACCCAGACAAAACAACCTACAGAACAAAAAATTATTTTTAAGAGGTTAGTAATAAATGTTCATAAATTAAAAAACTTAACCAACAATAACAAAAATATTAACAATATAATGTGAAGTTATTATTTAGAATTATGTGTACAGTTGCTATTTATATAATAGCAATTATAGGCATTTGTATTTAGAAGATATTGTGTACTGTTGTTATTTATCCAATAACAATTATATGCATTTGTATTTTACTTAATTGACCTTGTGCTAACCCTAGTGTAAAAGGTTAGCACATGTACATTTCCAGACGCTTTTTTCTCTTTCATTTTTCCGCAGCTTTCTTTTCTCTTCTCTCCTTTTCGGTTCTTCTTTCCTCTTCCTCAGATTGTTTCATATGTGTTGATTCAAAGTTAATATGGTATCAATCGCCTAAAGATCCTTTGATTTTCGCTTCCGCACACTGTATATTGTTTGATTTCGATCTCCACCTCTGAGATTGAAATTCGATTTCGATATTTGTTAGGGTTTTCAATCTCCGAAACCCAATTTCTTTCGATCTATTCCTGTTAGATCTGCTTGATTCTCGTCGATATCTGGTGATTTTGCTGACAAATCGATATGGCTACTGCACTGAATCCAACCGACGACCTTACTTCGCCCTATTACCTGCACGCGAGCGATAATCCGGGAGCTCTGATCGTTGTTGATCTCCTCAATGACGAGAACTATGTCAGCTGGTCCTGTGCTGTCCTCATGGCGCTCAGCGTGAAGAATAAAGGAGGTTTTGTCGACGGTACATTACTATCTCCATCTCCTACTGCTAACCCTAGCCTATATGTTTCATGGATTAGGGCTAATAACTTGGTGCTGACTTGGTTACTTAATTCTATATGTAAAGATATTAGACAATCTTTGTTGTTTTTCAATTCTGCGAAAGATGTATGGGATGAACTCAAAAATAGATATGTTGTCAGTAGTGGTCCTCGTGTTTTCCAGTTAAAGAAGTCATTGGGTACTATAAATCAAGGTTCTCTTACTGTTACTCAATTCTACAACTCATTGAAAGGGCTGTGGGATGAGTATGTTACTTTTAGGCCTATCATTAAGTGTCATTGTGGTGCTTTCACCTTCTGTACTTGTAATATCTTTGACATGATGGCTGAATCTCAACAAAATGACTGTGTGATGAAGTTTTTGATTGGACTGAATGACTCATATGCCTCCCTCAGAAGCCATTTCTTACTAACCTCTCCATTACCATCTCTCACCAAAATTTACTCATTGCTACTTCAAGAAGAATCCCAGAAATCATTATCCAATATACTTCCTACTGATCCAATGGCTATGTTAGCCAAAACCACTCAACCACACTACAACTCTCAGAACAACTCTCAGAAACCAACTCACCAAAAAGACAAAAAGCCTAGACCCAAATGCTCTCACTGTGGTTATCCACATCCTTCTGATAAATGCTACCAAGTCTATGGTTATCCTTCAAATTGGGTTGGCCCAAAGGGACCTAGAATCCACCCCAAACGTTTTAGCCAATCTCACATAGACCATTACTGAACATCATGATAATTCAAAATCTGATGCATCTTCCATGACTAATGAGCTCTTTCTTGAGTTTTTAGAATTTAAGAGGTTACAAAAGAACAAATCAGCTATAGAACCTAGTCAAAATCCTATGGTAACAACTGCTGCTGTTATACAATATGCTACATGTTTGTCTGCTCATTTTTCTTGCTCTGCATCTAGGTCTTTATCTAAGAATACATGGATTCTAGACACAGGTGCAACATACCACATGATTTGTGATAATTCTTTGCTTATTGCTGCTAAACCTGTGCATAATATAAAAATTCACTTGCCAAATGGAAATGTCACTGAAGCATCTTCTATAGGTCAAGTTCATCTTTCATCAACACTGATTCTTCATGATGTTCTCTATGTTCCCAGCTTCTCATTCAATTTAATATCTGTTTCTAAGCTGGTTTCTACTTATAACTGCATGATTCAATTCATGTCATCATCATGTATCTTACAGGACTTGACTACAAACAAAGTGATTGGTTCTGCTGACTTAAAAGATGGCATCTCACTTTAGCTGATTTGTCTACTAATTCTCAATTGTCTGTTAATACCTCTACTGTATGCAATTTACCTGTAACATTTCACTTACCTGTAAAGCAAAATCATGAGAATCATGTGAAGACATCTTTCTTACTCCAAACTGATGCATTTACCTATATCTGATGTTCATAATAAGCTCATCTCATCTTTACCATGTGATGGCTGTCATTTTGCAAGACAAAAAAGATTTCCTTTTGCTTTAAGTGAGTCTAAATCTTCTTCAATTGTTGAATTGATACATTGTGATGTGTGGGATCCTTTCTCTGTCACTTCTCATGAAGGTCACAAATATTTCTTGACAATTGTTGATGATTTCAGTAGAACAACTTGGATTTATCCTCTCAAAAATAAATCTGATACTAAAATTTCCCTGGAGCATCAATATGACCCTCATAGACATAAATTTGAACCAAGGGCACAGAAATGCATTCTTCTTGGGTATCTCATAAGTTGTAAAGGTTATAAACTTTACAACCTTGATGCTAAGAAAATATTGATCTCCAGAAATGTACAATTCTATGAGAATGATTTTCCTTTCATTGATAACAACATCCATACTCAGTCTGATACTCTATTCTCTCCACCTCAACAATTCCCCTTTACAGACAAAACTATAACTCATACTATCACTGGCCAACAGTCCTCTTCTACACTTACTATTTCAAACACAATAAGTCCAAATATACCCTCACTCAGTCCAAATGTCCCTTCACCTATTCAGACTCAAAACATTTCTTCCCATACTATTTCACCAATCAGGAGATCAACTAGACAAACAAAACCCCCTGCTTACTTAAATATTTATCAACATTCTTTACCTACTTTCAGAACCAATTCTGCAATCATTCCTCATTGTATTTCTAGAACATCACTTTACCCAATTTCTTCTTATTTGTCTGTTGATTCTTTATCTGAGACACATTCATGTTTTACAGCATCCATTTCTTTAATTACTGAACTAAAAGCTATACTCAAGCAACAAAAGATCCTCAATGGCAAATAGCCTTGAGAAAAGAACTAGATGCTTTAGATCAAACTAAAACATGGACTGTAACTTCTTTACCCCCAGGAAAGCATTATGTAGGCTGTAAATGGGTTTTCAAAGTTAAATACAAATTTGATGGTAGTATAGAAAGGTATAAGGCAAGGCTTGTTGCAAAAGGCTATACCCAAGAAGAGGCATAGACTATTTTGAAACATTCTCTCCTGTTGCCAAAATTACCACAGTCAGATTTTTAATTGCCTTAGCCTCTATTAAAAATTGGAATATTCACCAACTTGATATAAACAATGCCTTCCTTCATGGGGATTTAGAAGAAGAAGTTTACATGAAACCTTCTCCTGGATATTGTAAAAATGGTGATACAAGAGCTTGCAAATTGATTAAA